TGCTACTGAGCGTCAGGCCCAGCTTATCGACCTCATGCGCGAACAGCGTCGCAGCCGGCAGGACATGGGCAAGGAGCTCCTGCTCCGTGCCAGCCATATTCTGGGCAATATCATCAACATAGGCCCGCGAGGCCACCCGAGACATGTCACCATTCACTTGGTAATGCGCGGCCTCCAGGGCCTCGTAAACGTAGATTTTAACCCACGGCATGCTCTGGGAACAACCAGGTAAAACCCCCCTTCCCGCGGACACCACACGGGAGACGTTACCTTCAACCTCCAACATACGGGGGGCCGTATGGATGAGCATCCCAAGATACAACAAGTGGGGTGGGTATTCCATGCGCAGGGCCAATCGGATGAGCAACCGAGGGCTCACCGCATCGAAAAACTTTGTAAGATCCCAATGGATCGCAACCGAGATCGCCCTTTCATGTCTGGCACACTCGTGGTGCAACTCCCGAACAAGTGCCGCTCGGAGAGCCGACGATCCTTTGACCGCCGTGTCCCAGAACGCCGTGTGGTCGGCAGTCCACGCATCGATATCCCCCCCCCCCCCCGAATTTTGGCGTAGAGACGGCGCAGGGTGGGGCACTTACAGACGGGGCGCTCATCAATCTGAGACTTCGGCAACAACGCAATCAAACCGGGCAAGATTCGAGCTGGCCAAGCAATGCTCCGCTCGCACAGGGAGTAGAGGGAGGCCAGGGCGTGGAGGGCCTCGGCAGGGAGTTCAGCCACCGCCCGAGCTCTCCACCCATCAACGCCGACAGCCGTTGTCGCCGAGAAAAAATTGCACGCTTGAATACATGGGGCGGTAATGGGGGGAAGGTCACCAACTTGCTCAATAGCCACCGCACGGAGGTCAGACATGGCATCACCCAGCCTCAATATCTCGCCCTCCGACACGGACCAACATCCGCCCCACAAACGGGCCCGATATTCCATCATTTCTTCAGGTAACTGCTTGACACCGTCAGGGGGGGGGGGGGTAACATATTCAACCACACTCCGATTGTCACGCTTCAACCAAGAATGCACCCCCTTGGCACCATGTGGGATGGCGCGCAGCAGCCAGGCCTTAAGGCCTTTCGAAGACGCCGCCTTAGCTGCCGTCCAAGCACGCTTCAAAACCTCGGAGGTGAGGTCAACAAGGCGATCCACCATATCAGGATCCCCCAGCGCAGCAACGGTGACCTGATCGGCCCACCAGGGGGGGGGCTGAGCTGGCGGCAGCACCTCGGACAACTCCCCGACGCGGCTAACCACGTCCATGATCAGCCCGTAAACGCGGCTCTCGGTGGATTGCCGACGCAACAACGTGCGAAGCTCAAGTAGCTTGGCAGAGAACCGAGACCAAAAACGCCAACGTCGGACAACGAAAAGATGTGCCCATGCCACCTTCATGCGTGATCGTCGATGTAACCAATGTCAATTCATCCCCTCCCCCCATGTACGCATGCTCCTCCTCCTCATCGATGGCGGCACAGGCGCGCGAAAGAAACAAACGCTCGGTAGCACGCGACCAGAGGGAATACTGTACATATATATATATATGATCATCAAGGTGCTCGACTGCATGCGGGATGAGATGGGCCAACTGCACAGGGCACGTACACGGCGACACACGGTCAGAGCACATCTCATGATAAAGGTGACACCGCCACGGCAAGTCAGGTCCGTGACAAACGGGAATGATTCGAGGGCGTACTCGCCGCCAGAGACGTTGAACCAACACTCGGTGAGCCAACCGAATACGAAGTGCACGATGCGTTTTGAAGGGGGACGGTTCGAACACTCCAACCTGGACGAACGGGGCCAAATCCTCCGAGACCAACGCGTAATCGATCATCGCCCCTGACCCTTGTGAACACGTAAAGTCAACTCCCACCGGGGCCAACACCCGAGCGTGAACAGACTGCGGGTAACCCGAGAGCCACATCGTTTCACCCCCAATATTGAAGTCCCCGACCAACATCCAGGGAACCCCGAGAGCACGAACGAACTCGGCGATACCCCGCATTTTGGACAGGTTCTCCCCCGCGACACCCAGGCACGAGACAAAGTAACACTCCCCGACCGCAGCGGTCGCTTTCTGAGTCTTGAGTTCGAGAAACATCCAACCAGGGCCCGACCCAATGTCGGAAACCACGTCCGCATGGGCAAGAAAACGTTTTAAATGCAGGCTCTTACTGACGACCATCCCGACCCCTCCGTGAGTCCCCCCTCCGTTAGTAGGCGCACCTGCCTGCAGATGGGGCCTCCAGCCCATGCCTGCAATCTCTCGCTTCGCGGCAGGCAAGGCAGGCTGCTGTAAACGGTGCTCACAGAAGAGGAAGGCATCCACCTCAGGACATATAGCAGACGCAAAGTCCTTCGCAACCTTGGACCAGCTCGTGACATTACAAAACACCATATTCAGGCCACCATCTGCAGCAAGCGAATCCTTGGATCGGGGTGGACGGGATCGATGAGGCAGACCAGCGCTAAAGAGAAGGCGCCCCTTCCACAGGCATCGCGACGGCCTGCTTGAGCAGCTCGGTGAACTGGTTGTGGATATGCTCCTTCGTGGTCCGCAGGCGATTGGAGGTACGAGCTCGAACACGCTCACGGATGAGGCTCTCCATGCGCTCCTGCTCCTCAGGGGTGAGCACCTGCTCCTGGCCGCGCTTGCGCAGTCCACGCAACTCTTCATCGCCAGTCCCGCCTGCATCGCCAACGCTGGCGTCGCTACCAGCATCACTAGCAGCATCGTCATCGGCACGTTGAATGGCGGGTGGTCCGCATGGCCACGAACGCCTCCCAGAGGCCCTTCGGCAACCGCTGCTGACTGGCCCACTCGTTCTGCTCGGCTGCCGACATCTGCGGGAAGTCAGGAAGATCCACCTGCATGGGCTCCTCCACTGGAGCGTCCACACCTTCTTCGCCGCCAGCAGGCACACCAGCAGGAGCGGCGCCGCCACCGCCAGCACCACCGGCAGCCGCGCCGCCACGCGCCGCGCCGCCACGCGCCGCGCCGCGCCAGGGAGCGGCCGCCCGCGGCGCTGCAGGGGCCCCAGCGGGGGGCGCAACCTGCTGGGCCTGGCGCGCCGCCTCAGCGCGCGCCTCAGCAGCCTTCGCCGCCTTCCAGGCCTCGGGGTCGAAGGCCTGCAGCTCGGCGTCGGCAACACGGCGGGCCTTCTGAGCAGCATCATGCTCCTCCTCCGCAGCGTGCAAGGCGTTCGTCGCCTCGTCGAGTTGCTCCCGTACACGTTGAGCCTGGCTTCTCTTCTGTTCCACTTCCTGGCACGCAAGCCGAACCTGCCGAGCAGCATCCTCGACCACTCGGGCCAAGCGGGTCCGCTCGGTGTTCGCCGCGGTGTCGAGCTGGGCAGGCGTGAGGACCGCCGCGGGAGGCGCAGGCTCCCCCGCCAAGTCGCCCAGGGACTCGCGGAGGTCAGGCCGCGCCGCCAGGAGAGTGGCGGCGGCGGCGCGCAGCTGCGCATCAGGCTGCCCAGCATCAGCAACACCCGCTGGGGCGCCTGCATGGCATCCCCCTCCACCGCCGTTGGACTCGAGGTAGTAGCCGCCGCACTTGGAGCACACCTCGTGACCGCGGCTCGCCCACCCCCAGTGACTGCAGGAAACACACACGTTGTATTTCCGCTGGCGCTGACGGCGCCGCGGAGCTCGCTTGTCGTCCCGTGAACCATCAGGCTGAAACACCCAGCTCCCTGGCTGGCCACGATAGCTGCCAGTCCGCAGACCAGCACCCCCGCGACGCCATGGGGGCTCAGGCGCCATGGCCACGGGCGGCTCCGATATGTAGGAATGATGCCAAACGGGAGCTTTCGCTCCGCCTCGAAAGCAGGCTACGGAAACCCCAAAGCTAATCGTTGGTTCCCAGGCGCCCATAGCCCTTGAGCCAAAATGGCTACGGGGAGGAGAGGAGGAGGAGGAGGAGGAGGAGGAGGAGGAGGAGGAGGAGGAGGAGGAGAGGATGAGGAG